CAAAAAAAACACTTTAGATGTTTGTTGTGTACATTTGTTTGTATTACTTGGGTAGTGCTATATTGCCTTAGAAAATTAACTCAAGTTAGGTTTTTTTCTAGGTCTTTAAATTTGTGTTTGTGGATTGGAAGGTCCAATATTTGAATCACGCCTGTATATATAGTAAAACACGGACACACACTAATATGTTATTCTGCAATTTAATCAAGTGTCACAACTAACCTTTTTAACTAATTGAATTTGCCATAGGACTAGTTAATGAGCGTTGTAGCTTGTTCCTGAGGATACAATTTTACTTAAATTCCTAATAATAATTTGATCAGAGCATGGTTTCGCAACCATCCAATTTATACACCTGAAACCAAAGTTTTAGTAATTTTATTTATAGCACAATAGAAAATCCATTTTATAAAATATTTTGTTAATGTTATTTTAGAGCTGAATCGTACTTATTTTTATGGCTGCAATATTTATTTATTTATCTTGATAAGGTGCATAACGTTGTAAAGTATGTTTGATGAATGTCATAAGCGGGATTAAAGTTTATTTAGTGAGCTTTTAAAATTATTGTATTCAAATAAATTTATTTGATAGGATGAACTCTTTAGCCTAGTTGGAACTTATTCAAATACTTCTCTATGTGATGTTTCAAAAAGTATTAATATTTTTTATTCAGCTGACTTATCAACTATAAAAAACACATAGTTTGGAAAAAGTTTTCCTCTTCCGACGAAAGTTTCTCTCACGCCTTAACCTAACCGCCGCTCTTATCAATCGTCCGTTTTGACCTCTTCCGGCGACGGCGACGCCGTCTCTGCGGCCGTCGCTGGCCGCCCACCCTCTTATGCCGACGATTTAGCCACCTGCCGTCTTATAGCAACCTCTCTCGTCTCTTGTCTGGTGGTGGGTGGAGAACGGCGGCGGTTCCGATCGTCATCCGGCGGTGTCCTCGTTGCTGCTTGTTGCGATTGGGAGTGTCGGTAAGTTCTCTCCCTCTTGCTCTGGTTTAGTCTAGAGGAATTGGATTTTGGAGAGATTGGGGGTTAGGGTTCAATTGGGGCTCCGAGACTTCTCCGATGGGGTCGTCTGAATGGGCTTGATTTGGCCCGGTTGGGTGTCGTGGTGCTGCGTATGGGTGTGGGATTGGGTCGATTAGCTGGGGTTTGGCTCCGGCTAGGTAGTGGGCAGAGGTGGCGAGAGGGTGTTTGTTCGTCTGGGGCTGTGGATGAGGGTCGGCGGTGGTCGGGTGGGGCTTTGGTGGCTGCTGTGTGTGTCAAGTGGTAGTCGCCGGAGTTGGAGTTCGGGCAGGTAGCCGCTATCCTGGAGCAGCTCATTTTGGGTTGCGTGGGATCCGGTATTCTCGGCCAGGGCTAGTGGTGTTAGCCTTATTCGGGTTGCTGGTTGGGGTGGCTGGGCCTGTTCTCCTCGGTCAGTGGGTGCTGTCCGTTGGTTGGGTTCGGGGGCGGGGCCCTGCCTCTTGTTAGGCCTGCGGCAGTTTCGGGGGCTCGGGCTTGGCTAGGGACCTTTCCTGTGGTCAGTTGTAGCTGCTTCTTCGGCTTAGTTGTCTCTCCGGGAGAGGGTCGTTTTATTTTGTTTAGGGTGTTCATCATGTGTATTCTTTTAGTTTGTTTGTCGTTTTCTTTTCTTTGTTCCGTGTGTTTGGTTGTCTTTGTTTTGGGAATGAATACAGGCTAGGCATTGAGCAGTGGCTCTGTTATTTATTCTCCTTTATTTTCGGTTGTTGAGTTCTCTAGGCTGCCATGTGCGTGTCCTCTCAGTTTGCTATTCCTGTTCTTTTCTAGGAGTGTTTTTGGTTTGGGTCGTTGGTCCCTGTCTCATTACCCTGTTGGGGTCGTAGATTACCCTGTTGGGGTCGTGTAATTTGTACTCGTTGCTCTTTTGTGCTTTTATAGTATTTCTATCGTTTCAGAAAAAAAAAAAGTCAAATTAGTACAATCTCGNATATATATATATATATATATTATTTTTTTCTAGTTGTTTTCTAAGTCCTCGTCACTTTTAATATATATGTCACTGGGAGACATTAATATAAAAAGATAACTGCACAAAAAAAAATTGTATATTTGATCTAAGAGATTTAATTATCCTTAAGAGTTGCTCACTATGCAAAAAATAGTATCCACTATAAATGTGATTATAGTATTATTTAATAAAAAAAATTTACTGCTTACTTTTTTATATATTTATTTAATTTTTTTTATCATCCGTTGTAAGACTTCATATTCTTATTTTCGTTGATATGGTATCGATAATTGATCTAAATCTACTAATTAAATTTTTTGAACTTTTTTAATCAATTACTTTATTTCTACTTAATCTATTTTTGTTTTTATTTTTAGTGATGTGATAGTTTATATATTATTTATTTTATTATATATAATATTAAAAAAACTTTATTTTCTAATCTTCGATTTGACACCCATTTGTGTACAAATAACAAATATTTTTAATGTATTCTTAAGTTTGTTATTTAATTGCACATATAAAATTAACTTAAATTATTATTAATACTTATTTAAAATAAGAAATTAATCTCAAGTTATTCATACAATAAAATATAAATTATATATGATAAAATATATTAGTACAATATAATATAAAATAGTAATTATCGCTCATGAGTTTAAATAAAGTAATGATAAAAAGGTATAAAATATTAGTAAATATTTTTCGGAGAATTAAGTGTAATCGATATTAAAATGATAAACTAATAGATAATTGGTCAAACTGACAGGTAAATTATTAGATTATAAATAAATTAAAATATTTATAATATGTATTGTTTTGAAATTTGATAAAACCAACGAGTAATTTATTGATCTGCCATGTAAGTGCTTATAAAGAAAAATAAAATTTTTATAATATATATGGTTATAAGTTATGCTGAAAACCCAACGGATCATGTATCGAACTATCTATGTAAAAATTAAAAAAAAAATCAAAATATTTATAATATATAATGTTATATATTATAATATTAATCAACCGGCGTTGTACTGTCATATATGAATTATTAATTTGAAAAAAAAAATCAAAATATTTATAATACACATTATTATAAATTATCAGAAAATAAAATAGTTGTGATACAATTAAAAATTAGTAGATTTTATAAGTTTAAAATAATATACTCTACATTATTTGTAAATTAAGTGCCGTTTATAATATTTGTCATAATTTTTCAACTTTACCATTGTAGCGCCCGCTTACTTATCATTATAAGAACGCTAAGTTTCAGAAATAATTTGAATTTTTAAAAACTTCTAAACTTTGAAATGTTTCTTGGGCACTACTGAAAACTCTTTCTTTTCAAAATTTTCTAAAATACTTTTCTTTTCTTTCCTTTTTTCTTTCTTTTATTTAAAAACGTAACCTAAGCTTTACACCTAGGTTCTTAGGGAAATCACTGCGCACACTTCTTACTTGCTTTTCAGACAATCAAGACATAAAGAAACTTTCAAATACTTAATCTCAATCTCAAAACTAGAAATAGCTAAAACATGGAATGAGTTCAAAAACCGTTTGCGGAAGCATAAAGTAAATAACATTATTAGACCCCTCTGGCCCTTTCATGTCCGCCGCTAACTGCTCAACCTGAAAATGATAATTGTGGGGGGTGAGCAAAACAACTAGCCCACTGATAGACCATAATATGAATTATTCAGAATAATTAATAGATACCATGATATTAGCATGAAATATGAATAAACTGGTCATATTGCCCCTCACAAGCGCTGCCCCTCACAGACAAGGTTATAAAAGCTTTACCTCTCACAAGCGCTACCCATCACGGGCAGAGTTATAAGAGCTTTGCCCTCACAGGCGCTGCCTATAGATGCAGGGTTATATCTGGCGCAACACTGTAGCTTTACTCTATGTTTTTTTTGTTTAATGTATTTTAATGAAGTTGGGGGACCAGCGAGCAATCATTTCGGTGGGACCTGCGGCTAGATAGGTGGGGCCAACTTGGAGTTGGGAGGGCAATCACGACTCCTTGTGCACGGTAGTTGAAGGTATGAACTTGGAAGCCATTGCGTGGCTACCGCGGTATAATTGGAGGCAGTTTTTGAGGGGCCGGAGCTGTTTCTTCGAGAACTAGTCCACCTGGAACCTCGNAAAAGCAAAACATTAACAGCGTTTTATGACTTCAGTACCGGCTGAAAACTGCGTTAACGGCGGCGGGTATGGCGAAAAAACGAGAACGCCGAACCGGGAATCGCGCCGGCCCCCAATCCGAGGCGGACCAGCCAGCCGGCGCCGAAAGCTCTTCCTCCTCGCGCGCTAATCGGGATCGCAAGCTTATAACCGCCTCCACCGCCGCCGCCGCCGCCACCACAATCCTATTCCTAGTCGTAGTTCCCGCCATTTTAGTTCTCGTCTACCGTATGTTTGACGCTCCCAATACCCCACACCCATCGTATGTCTACAGCCGCGACCTCGTCAATAAGGATATTAACTACCGGCAAGTTCTCGATGTGCGCTCACTTATTAATCTAATTTCGTAAAGAATTTGTGATGATGATTATATTTTTCCTCTGTTATAGATTCATTTTGTCAATGCGTGAAATTTTTGTGATGGCATCTGTAATTGTGTTAAGAATTTCAGGAGCATATGAAGACCTCGGAGAATTCGAGTCAACGGAACTTTAAGAATCCTGTGCTTGCATACATTACTCCATGGTATCCGCTTTCAAATTTTCTACCTTATCTAGGAGTAGAAGCAGCTTTGTTGTTATGCCAAGTGCAATGACAAATTCTATTGTTAGTTGTTGAGGTATATTGAAATGGCAACATCGTACATTAGCCCTCCAGTAGTTTATGGTGATGTGTGATTAGTGAAGAAATCTATGTTACAATCTATGAACCAGTGAACTGGTTTTGGTTGGATTTCTTCTTTGGTTACTGCTGGTTTCGCTTTCTGAACTAAATGGTTGAAAGNCCAGGAACTCTCAAGGGTATGACATGGCCAAGA